TAACTTAAGTTTATCAGCTTTAATGCTGTTAAGTGAAAATACTTGAGTGTCACAGCTGAGTAAATATTCAAGAAAAAGCAGTGAATACTTTAGGTAGGTAACTAACAAGCCACAGGCCAGCCAAATTCTTTTGTTTTGATTACTTTTCATCCCTATTGTGAAAAGAAAAGGGGAAGAAATGCCCTCAGTAAAATTCAGAAATCCTATCATCAAGCAAAAATTCCCTTTATAACTAAGTTACAAGTAGAAATCCACTTAAAAAAATGCCATGACCGGTTGTTAACACACCAGTGCTGTCTACAAATACAGTTGTTTAAACACACCAGATTGCTGTCATTATTCAGCAGGTGCATTAATCACAATTCAGCTTGCTATCAGGAGTGAAAATTACTGGTGTGTAAATTTCCACCCCATTCCCTTGACTTTTACAGGCTCCGGACACGCAGGCTCAGCGGCCATGACTCACTGGCCCAGCCGCTCCACGGCATGTGGGATCCTCCCGGACCGGGACACAAACCCACATCCCCTGCATCAGCATGCGGACTCTCAACCACTGCGCCACCAGGGAAGCCCTTCCCTTGACTTTTATTTTGAGCCATTCGTCAACAATTTCCTCCTTCATTAGAAGTCACAAGTTAACCAAGCTATAAAAAAAAAAATCAAAGAAACACAATTTGATGATATCTCAGAAATGTAAATACTTAGTGCAATTTGGTTAATTCACAAAATCTCTTAAGCATTACAGTCATCTACTAAGAAAATTCTCAAGCCTTTGTTTCAACCATTAGCTATGGACATATCAAGAAGTGCTTGAGAAAAAAACAGAACTCTTGAAGTAGTAAATTTCCAGTAACTGGTTTCAACCAGTCCTCTGACAAGTGTGTTACTCCCTCAGTTTTTTTGTTAATCCCCCAATACACTTCTAAAGAACTGTCATCCATTGCCTTAAAGAAAGGCTGCCGGTTTCACCTTACTGCCTTCACCAGAAATGTTCCGGCCCAAGGAAGCCGGGTCCCAGCTGTCCATAGGAAATGTTCAGAGGGCACCATACCCAGGATTGGTTGTGAGATAGATGTCTTCCAAGATAAATTAAGATCCTAGATAATATTAACCAGTCAATCAACAAACATTTATCAATTACTGTTCATAGGAACTGAGATAGTTATTAAAGAGAACATAGAATAAGAAGAGCTAGTCCTCTACAACGTTACACACTAGATATCTATAATACACGTATTCACAGGAAAAGCCAGCTTCTAATACAGAGCAGCAGATTGTTGGTGCTAAATGAATGTGGTGATAGGAACCGCCATAGACTCTGGATGACTCACTCCAGACTACAGGGATGAGATCATTCGGCCATCGACTCAGAGAAGAAGAGAGATGTGGAGTGGAAAGTAGGGGAGGTGAAACAAAGGGACGAGAGATGGGGGAATCATTTGTACTTGAGAGCAAAACGGAATCTGCAATAAATATAAATCTGTTTTTGTGCATGGTGTCAGTGTGACTACATTTCAAATATGACTATTATTCATCTTGACTTAAGCACATTTTGACACTATTCATTCGAAAAGCTGAAGCACACTGAGGTCATCCATGGCTGATTCTGATTTTGGTTCCATTAAGAATCACGGGAAATACAGTCATAGCTGGCCCTAGTGGAATTACTATCTATACTAAGATTGTTCCTCCAGGTTAACCCTCTCCAATAATCTGTCCCAACCAAATCAATTATAAATTGTCATTGTTTGCAATGAGAGAGTTGTACTGATTGACTTCCTAGCCGGCCCTTCTCAGATTAATAGATCTGGAAGGCCTATAAATTCTTCCATTTGAGCAATGTGGTCAACTTTTCTACACCTTAGTTCCAGGTAATTAGGTTCATCTAATCCAGGTGATGTTAAGTAAATCAAAAATTACATAAACTACAGGATGCATATTGTTGCTATTTCTGGGCTGCCAGTGTCCAGAGGTGTGCTTCTTGGTTTTCTGCACTCAGGACATCTGGGACAATTTAATGAATGTGTGAATATATGCTGAGATTAAAAAAAAAAGTATGTGCAAAGGGAGTACTCGAATAAAAGCATGACTTCCTGAAGGGGACATCACTTTTGTCTGACCAGTGTCTTTTTCCCTTCTTTTAATGATTGAAGGCAGTAGCACTCACTGTTCATCTGTGTAATTACGTCTTGCTCATTTTGTGTGGTATTGTGTGGTTGTCAATCAAAGAGCTTGCTCCCTCCCCTGAAGCTAAACTCTAGAAGAAATCTGTATTTTGATAGGAGAGACAATGACTAAAATGATTGGAACTGATCCGTCCAATGGCAGTGTCCTAGGTAAGACTCTCCTTGGAGTCCCTGAATGCTGTACTGATGGACTTGCATTTCCGGAGGTGTGAGTGGTGAAATCTTCCTCAGTACTATAAGCTATTCCACACTTTTAAAATCTATTATTAAAAAAAAATTTTTTTTTAGCTAGAGCTGATTTTTGTGGGTTGCAACCAAAGAGAATTAGCGCATACACTTTACTTCTGTTACAACTTCCAACCATAGCATTAGGGATGGAAAGGTTCAAACTGCGCATCCAAGAGAGGACCCAAGAGTAAAGATCTATTCAAGGACCTGAGATTTTATAACAAGTAAATTTATAATCCACTCTTTTTAACAACAACAAAAATTTCCCAGCATTTTTTTATAACATCATCCCAGGATGTATGTGTTATCAGTAACATAAAACGCTGAACAGAGACAAGGACTCTTGAGGAAAGTCCACTGGACTTGATAAGAGCAAAGCTTTAGCAGACTGATGGGGACAGAGTACGTTTATATGAGGGAAAGAAGGAAACGGGAGGATAGAAAATATAGGTTTGGCAAAGAAAAAAAGAGGAGGGATGGAAAAGTAGTTGGAAGAATCAAGTAAAAATTCTTTTTGTTTTTAAGCTAGGGATGAGCTAGACATGTTTGGAGGCAGGAGAAAGAGGTGCTGAAAAGGAATAGGACAGCAGGGCTGGCTTCTGGGCATGTGACCTGTGCTCAGAAGGGCACTGCCCTTGGCCTTAATGCTCTGCTCTCTTGAAATTCTTACTATTTTTTGAGCCAGGACCCTGCATTTTCATTTTGCACTATGAAAGTGCTTCATAAGATATATGTAGGCTGATTAATGCCCCCCAAAGGTGCCCACGCCCTAATCCCCAGATCCTGAAAGTATGTTACCCTATGTGGCGAAAAGGACTTAGCAGATGTGATTATGTTAAGGATTTTGAGTTGGGAAGATTATTTTTGATTATCTGGTGGGCCCAATGGAATCACAGGGATCTTTACAAGGGGGAGGCGGTAGAGTTAGGTTTAGAAAGAGAAGGCATGTGACAACAGAAGCAGAGGGAGTGAGTGACAACAGAAGCAGAGGGAGTGAAACGTGACAATATGATGCACGGTCATGAGCTAAGGAATGCCTGGCCTCTAGAAGCTGGAAAAGGCAAGAAAACATATTGTCCCCTAGAGAAAGCCTCTAGAAAGAATGTAGCTCTGCTGATCCAGTTTGGACTCCTGACCTCCAGAACTGTAAGATGATACATTTGTTTTAAGCCACTAAATCTGTGGTAATTTGTTATACAAACGGTGGGAAACTAATACACACTGCATAAATGTAAGGTGATGTATTTTATTAGTTTACTAGAAATCAAGAATATTAATAAAGCTAACAGCAGCTGTCATTTATTGAACATTCCTTTTTTTTTTTTTTTCGGTACACGGGCCTCTCACTGTTGTGGCCTCTCCCGTTGCGGAGCACAGGCTCCGGACGCGC